GGGCAGATGAGAGCGGGGGTGATTGTCAGCAGGATGCTAGGGCTGAAGAAGGAAGTATAAATATAAAGCAGCCAGGGTAGGACTGGACAGGGGCCATATGAAACACACCGTACATTCCTGCCCCAGCCCCAGAGTAACAAACTGTACCAGCCTTTTTGAGAGCCGGGAGCTCTGAGGAGGGCAGGGAAGAGAGAAGAGGTTCCTTGGAGGTTGGCCCTGCTTCCCCCTCCCCCTCTTCTCCCACAGCTCACACTGTGGGGAAAGTCCCGAGGTTACTTTTGCAACCACAGGAAACCTACTATCCCTGCTCACACTCGGTACCCGGTGTTCTCAGCAGTTCCAGACCGGGAGGGAGCAATGCGTGGGGGAGGTGAGGAGCGGGTGGGGACACAGGCAGCCACAGTAGTCCAGGTAACATCAGGGGAGGTATCAAGTATCACCGGGACTGAGTCACAGCCTACTGTAAGCGCTGCAGTGGAGGTGCAGATGACAGAGGCGCAGGGAAGGAAGTGCCTTGCCCAAGGTCACACTGCTAGCTGTTCAGCAGGGTGGGACCAGAGTGCATCCAGAGTTGGGCAGTGCTGGGCAGCCCTCATGGGTGTAGTGTGTAGGAGTGGCAGGCCAGGGAACAGGCAGTGCCTGGGGACTGAGGGTGGGGAGCGCAGATCCAAGGCTGCCTCAAAGCTCTGGTTGGCTCTGGGCAGGTCTGGCTTGCGCACTGTCCCCTCCACTCCTCCCAAACCTACCCCCCTCCTTAAATATTAGAGATAATGCATGTAAAGTACCTAGCATGGATGCTGGTTCACGATGTCAGTCAGAATGAGTCACCTCCACGCCTCCTCTCTGCTCCTCCACAGATACAGGTCAAGGCCTAGGACCTCCTGGGATCTTTCGCCGATATCACCACCTCTTTCCAAAGAGTCCTTATAGCTCTTACAAACATTTGGTACTCACCACCTGCTGGCCTGGGTTATTATTTAACCTCACATGCTGTGTGTTTGTCTCTTCAACTGGCCTGCAAACTGCCCAAGGGCAGGAAATCATTTCAATACACCCAATATTTACTGAACATCAACTCTAGGGCCAAGCTTGGCCTGTGGGGGATGAGCTGAGTGACGCGGGAGGCCTCAAAGAAGAGGACTTTGTTTCTGCCTCAAGGACTTTCTAATCTGGTTAGAAGAGCAGGATTAGTGAAATCGCTAGAATATGAGCCAGGCCACAAGCTGTGTGGTGAGAAAGGTACAAACCCAGTGTGCTGGGCATTCAGAGGGGAGAGGAGTCAGGTTTGGCTGGTGCTGTTCCAACCAGGCTTGAGAGATAGGTAGACGTGGAGCACAGGGTCTCCAGGCATGGCAAATGGCATGCCAACTGTGGGGTGGGAAGGAGGGCTAGGAAAGGACTTTAGAAACTGTGCCTTAAATTTTAAAATTTAATTAAAAAATCCAGCAGAGCCTTCCATACAGTAGGTGCTCAGTAAGTCCTTGGTTTGGAGACGCGGAACCTTCAGGCTCAGCACTCGGTGCTCTCTTTCTGCAGAAGGATAGGCAAGGAGAAAACATGGATCTGAATAAATCTGCCTTTTGGGGCTGGACAAAGGGGGGGGGGTCAGGCTCCAGTTTGGGGTGGTCTTCTTCCACCCTACCGTGGCTCCCACTCCTTAGCGTCTAGGCTCTTGCTACTCCTGGTGTCCTGCCAGAGGTTTCCCGAGCTATCCAAAAGGGCTGGGCTTGCCCTGCCAGCCCCTGGGAGTCCTGCTCAGTAGAGCAGCCCCGGGGCTGGGCTCCGGCGGGGATCGCTCCACTTGGCCCCTCTGCCCGGCTTCCGTCGTCACGTGACCGCATTCCAGGTCTCCCGAGTCTGACGCTGTCGCGCCCCCGGCGATACTCCAAGAGCCCCGGGCCTAGCGCCGCGGGGCGGGCGCGGCCCCTCCCCCCGTGGGGCTGCACCACC